CACACATACATAAAGAATGGTAGTGCTGGTGGTGCAGGAGTGGAGTAAGCACTGAAGCAGAGCAGCATTGACGTCACCAGCCTGTGGTTATCAGTGGAGGTTAATCTACTAGGGATGGATGGGCTTATGCAATTGTCTGTGAGCTCACAGGCTTCGCATGTATGGATTTGCATTTCCACTGTTTGACCCAGTGTTCTGCTGCATCCTGCAGACAAACAGAGATGATAGAGTGGGAATTTCTGCTCTCTCTGGAATTTCTAGTAGACGTCTCTCTCTCTTTATCAGGTGCTGTGTGCTTCAGGCTGTATGAATGGGTTTGAACGCAGTTTATTGTTTAGGTGCGGTGATCAGCTAAAAATTATCCCGCCGCATTATGGGGAGGACATTACCTAATGATCGATACCTTGGTGGAAATTCATGAAGACGCTGAGAAATAACTTGTTTTAGTGTTAAAATTGAGCGAGAGAGACTTGAAAAACAAAGTCATTAGCATTTATTGGCTGGGATGCCCTTTGTATATTTTGTGCTGCACCTCCAGGTGCATATTTTAGTAGACAAGTGGTAGAAATTGACTTTGGCTTCTGCATGTGTTGGCGAACACGATCAGTCAGGCTTAAGAGTTTGTGTGTGATTTGTGTTGGGAGGTATTACAAATAGCTGCACTCATTCAGTTTTTATCACCCTGCAGACCCAGTGTCCTGTTGAATCTAGAGGGGGGTGTAAATGGACCTGAGAATACAAAGCCCAGTTTCCCTCGGGGCCTGGAAACCAGGATGTCCCCTCTACCCTGAGGCGGCTGCTTCTATATGCTAATGACCTTTGACCCCCATTTTTGCCTTGAGACTTGCAAATCTGCCTGCACAAAGATTGGAAGAAGTCTGGAAAGGCAAACAAAGAGGTCTTACACTGAGAGTGATGCAACTGGACAGCTGGAGCCCAGTCAGAGATAAAGAACTTTTATTACCATGTAGACATTTAAAAAAAACAACAGAAAAACACAAACAAAACTGTAACCTTGGTGGTGGGAAGCCTTTTACACAGAGGGAAGAAGTGTTCGACCATGTCCCAAAACACAAATTTAGTCAGGATTTTTCAAAGAACAGCCTCTTCCATCATGCCATGGTGTTTGGCTTAGGTATGATCTGATGAAATGCGTTCCACTCTGACCTTTGAACAAACTGCACTCCCCAACATGTGCTTAAAAAAAATCTGAAAATCCTCTGTCTACCTCCAAAGCTCTTGCTAAACTCAGCTCTTCTCAGAGCCACTCGGTTTCTCAACACATTCATCAAAATGAGCTTCCTCCATCTCCTAGTTTCAGTGAATCCCGTCTCCCTGGAAAGGTTTGAGCTGAAACTGTCCACGCCCCGCTCTCTCCTCCGTGAGCCACCCGGGATCATCATTTAATTCCTTGTGTACATGTTCTGTTTTGTTTTGATTTAATTCCTGGAAAGAAAGAAAAACCCTTTAATCAAACTACTTGCAGTTATTAACTCGAAAATGATCTTTCCCTCAGTAGGATCCCTCACTGGGCAAAACTATTTCATCCACAGCATTTCATATAGTTTTAATTAACACAAGATGCGGTGTCTTTCTCTGTCATTAGCGAGGAATAAATTAAACTCATTAAATCTCGAGCTTAATGAAAATGCTCGAGACAGATTTGGGATGCGCTGAATGATGTATGAAGCTGTGCAGCAGCTACTTTTTGTTCTTTTTGAATCTGGGACTTTCAATTAGCAGCAGGCCACCGCAGACTGCTGTTTGATGAGTTGAATTATAAGAAGTAAATATCACTCTAGCCAAAAAATGTTGTTTATAGGCGTGTTTACGAGCGTGTTTTTTGCTTTAATTGCTCTTAAAAACTGCTTGGCTTTGGATATTTTGAATGTGAGCAGAAGCCTCTTGTTAGCACAGAGCTGTGATTACCTCAGTTTGTGGAGGAAGACTAATGATCCTGATATTCAAGGTTTCCACTAAACTGCACTTAAAATATTTTAAAACTGACCTGTATATGGAAATACCACAAGCAGCCTGAACCACTGATAAAGGCAGGACGGATCCATGCTTTCATGTTGTTTACACTAAATTCTGACCCCAGTCATCCAACCAGCCAACATTTTTCCAATCTTCAAATGTCCAATGTTTTAGAGCCCATTTGAATTGTATCCTCAGTTTCCTGTTCTTAGCTGACTGGAGCGACACACGCTCTGGTCCATCTGGTCCCACATGCTGTGTTCAGAGATGGTCTGGTTGTAAAGAGTGGTTATCTGAGTTACTGTTGCTTTCCTGTCAGTTCAAAACAGTCTTGTCCCCTGTCCTCTGACCACTGGCATCAAGACAGCATTTTTGCTCATAGAAATGCTGCTCAGTAGATATTTTACTTTTTTGGACAATTCTCCGTAAACCCCAGAGATGGTCATGTGGGGAAGACCCAGTAAATCAGCAGACAGGCTGGTCTTAGTATTGTAGTCATGGAACAACAGTGCTGCATGCATTCAAAGTCACTTAAATAGCCTTTTTCCCTCATTTTGATGCTCAGTTTGAACTCCAGCAGCAGCATGTCTGCATACCTAAATGCAGTGGGTTTTGGCCACGTGACTGGATGATTAGATATTTGTGTTAGCATTCAGTTGAATAGCAAAACGGCTGTTCCCATTAGGTAAAACGATAATGAGTTGGTTGTTGCTGAGGGCACTTGTTCATGTAACACCAGTTCTTAGAATACTCAAGTCCCCCTGTATATATATTTAAAAAATCCTAGTTGTTCACATAAATCAGCAGTGCATCATCTCGTCACGTGTAAATATGTGAGCTTTAAAGCAAAGTCTGCAGTGACCAACTTAGCTGCAGGCTACACTAACATTTGCTAAGGAGCACTGCTTGTGGCACAAATCTCTTTAGTGATGACAACTTTGATTTAGGTTTTTCAGACAGGAAATGGAGTCAGTTGGTTTGAGTTGGGGTGACCTCTTACACAGCTACATGACAAGGTGTTTATTACAAGCTCCTTCATCCACGCACTCTTCCTTTTCTGCCATCAGTTTGAAGTAATCCAACAATTTTGTCCACTGCTACCTGGGTGAAACAATTTAACAATTCAAGCTGTTGACGCTGGAATAATGAAATAACTAGCCCAAAGTTCTGATCCGTACTTAATTGGGAATCTCTGGAAGATTAGCAGCTCTATTCTGTTGAAAAGAACAAAATCAAACCAGGGAAATGTGAGATGTTGGTAAGGCCCCACGAGCACAGATGTGCTAAAATCATTCCAAGAAAATGACCTGTATACTTCCTAGTGGTTGAAAGTTGTAACCATTAATATTTCAGTTTCCAAGCTGCTTTTTTCCTGCTAAAATAGCAAACTATTGTCTAATTTAGATCACTGTACTTTCTGGAATGAATCATTCAAATGTTGCCAAAAGAGTGCTATAGCCACAACTGGGCCTAGTATTCCCCTAATGTTTGAGCTATGAAAGTCACCAATGAGCAAAAAATAAAATAAATCAAGTAAACATGAATAATTCTCTAACTTTGATCTCTACTCTATTATCTCATATTAGAACTGAATTATGCAGGGTGGCAGGAAAACGTAAGTGCTGTAAGTTCTGACCTGTAATCAGTAATCAAAATAAATATTGAGCTTTGATGTGGCACAAATGAGGAGAAAATGAAGATGACAGACAAGATGAGACTCCATTTGGTTGACGGTTTATTTCATGGTGGTAGGAACACAAGACAAAGGTCATAAAGTTAGTAATGTTCAGGTCATGCCACTCTTATCGGTGCACTGCCCTTTGACGAGGTTTGCGCAGTCAGACAGTAGTTTACAGAGGCCAGACATGGAGGGTAATCCACATGTAGACATAAATAAGGAACAGAAAATAGATTCAAAAATCAGTAAATAGAAGATTTTTTTTGTAAAAAGCCAGATGGGATATTTGCGTAAGCCCTCTGGGATATTTTTTTCATATGAGTATGAGCATTATTACTAATATAGTCATTATTATTATTATTATTTTGTATTACTCATTTACATTATCAGAATGAGGCTAATACACTGGCTAAAGTAACAAAACAGTTACATGGATAACGTCTTCGTCACCTGCTCGCAGTTCAAGATGACTGGTTTTTAAGGCAATTCATAGTTTCCATCCAAACCATACATGGACTGCAATTGTCTTTTGTGTGTGTGTGTGTGTGTTCTCGAGTCCAAGTGGTTCCACCTGAAGTGGTCAAACTCCAAGAAGAGTGTAATAAAATAAGACCAGTTTAAGCTTTGAGAGAGTGACTGCTGGAATTTTAAAAGCATCTTGGGACACTAGAAGAGGGATTCCTGCCCTGGTGCGGACGCACACAATCAGCTTCAGTGCTATTCCTCCCCCATTTACAGAAGTATAGAGCATCGTGTGGGTGAACAGACAAAAGTCAGACATGGCTCCAGTGTATAGTACTAAAAACATAAACCTCCACAGATCACACGTTGTTGCTAAATTTACACTTAAAAATTGCAGGGCTGTACAAAAACAGGTTGCTTGATGACTTTTAAGGAGGGAAAGATAATTAGGAACCTAAGAGAGAAAAGGAAACGAACAAACGAAAAAGTACAAGACCATTTGATACTCAACCACGAACAGGCATGATTTAGTCTCAGAATATTGCCAAGGTTCTCATATCAAAACAAGTTTCTTTCAGTCATTCATCGAAGCTTATTGTGGTTCAGCAAAGACGACTCCACGTTGCAACAGTTCACTGAATTGTACAGGATTCGCACTAGTTAAACAAACCCATGCGTTACTAGGTTAGATCGCAAGTACTGAAGGATTATGTATGTTTTCCCAGTTTTTTGCGGCTGCTATGGCTTCAAAGGGTCACAATAGCGTCAAAGTCTCTCTCTTTTTCTCTCTCTTTCTTTCACTCAACAGCCGAAAGAAGAAAAAAAAAAAGATTCCTCCAGGAATGTTCCTAGGTGAAATACAAAAACATGAATTTAAGTCTCAGGTAGAGTTTTTTTTTTCTCTTTTTCTGTGAAGATTTTTTTCTCTTTGTGTTGACTGACTGCTGTTTGACAGGACATTCCCAAGAGAAGTGGCTCTCGTGATAAGATCTCCCTTTGCCTCCTTTCTGTCTGTCCTTTTCTTCAGTCTTTGCTTTCAGCACCTCCTTAAGGTCAGATATGGTAATAACTCTTCCCTTAGACGCCATTAAAGGCCCTGCAAAAACTAACTGCTCCCGAGAATAATACAGAAATATATATCTATCACAAACAAAACAAAAAACAAAAAAATGAGGAATGACCAGACTTTAAAGATGTCTGTGAAGCCTGTACTTTCTGAAATCACTGAGAAGTGAAAATAAAAGAAGAAAAAGGAACCTCGATTCGTTTAAAACAAGAACAAAAAACGCCCCCCTCCCAGTTATTCAAAATAGATTCTTTTTCTTGGACTCAAACAAACAAACAAAAACCCCAGATTTTTCAAACCAACACTGCAGAAGTGCATGCATTTATAGTGGTCATCATTAGTTCATCTGCTGATTGTAGAACAGAACGCACAATAGTACAGGAGAAGCACAATTTCTCCAACGAGAACCCATCTTACATATTCACAGTCTCAGGTATTATTTATATACTCTATATTTATAACATCTATCCATGTCTGTGATTCATGTCTTGACTTATGACTAATAATATGCAAGTCATTGTTGCACGCAGCGCTCTCTCTCCGTCACATCGGGTTGCGGTGTTAGTGAGTCATATTTCAAAACTAAAGGCTTGGATGGGATTCAGATCGAGTGGAGAGTTTTTTCTTTTCTTTTTTTCCCCTCTTTTCAGGGTGCTGTGAGATGGGGTTGATCGAGTGCTTATGACTGTGTACTTTCTCACTGTAGCAGCTTGACTGATTTCTGAAAAGTCCCATTAGGAAAATACAGTGGACTGAATACCAGGGCTGAATACAGAGTTTCTTGACTGTAGTCGGCAGCTGGCTGCAGCATCGAAGAAACGCACGCACCGGCTACAGCATCCATCTCTCGTGAGGGAATGTGTGTCTATCAAAGATGTATAGGCCATGCTTGGGGAATGTGGAACGGCAGATATGGCACCGAGACAAGGCAGTAACCGGAGATCATCAGCAGGGTCCACCGTGTTCAAGTAAAGGATGAGAATAAAAAATAATAAAAAACAAAAAACTGGTAGGGCTGGGTTTTTTTTAAAGATTCTTTAAAAACATCAAATGTGACATGGATTTAATATCTGTTGTTTTCACCGAGGTGCCTTCTTTTTGGGAAAAAAAAATGAAGGGCCTTGAAAGAAAAGGAATTTTTTACTGTGAACGGAGGTGCGGATAAGAGCAAAATATATAAAACAAAAATGAAAACAACATATTCATTTTCTTTCCATATAAAAAGCGATGAGAAGTATACAAAAATAGAAAATAATTACAGCAGGAGACATGGGCGCTATAGAGGGTGCGGGTGGGAGGGTTTCTTTTTCTTTTTCATTGCTTGCGATATTTCTGTCTTTGCTGGAGTTATTTGGCGGCGGAACAGTGTAATATTCTGGGGCTGTTTAAGGCGTCCTCCACCAGGTGGAGATCCACCCCGTCCACCACCACGTCCTTGATGCAGCCAACGAAACCCGTGCTGTAGGCCTTAGGCAACCGGCGGGCAACCGGCAGCTCCTCCAGACCACCTGAGGAGGGACAGGAGACGAGGTTACTTTGACTGTGAGTCACTGAAAAGGTTATTTCAGTCAAATCAGCCAGCAGTTCCTTTTTAACTTTAAACTTTTCTTTTTTTCACCTGCAGAAAAATACTTTGCACAACTAGTCAACTAATCTTAAAAGTCAGTGTAGTGCCCCTTTAAAGATCAAACAGCGGGATAAGGGTTCGGCTTTTGCAACGAATTAAACTGGAAATATCCATCAAATAGCCAACCTTTGAAATATTTTGGTACAAACTACAAAAGCAGCTACATGGTTTTGTCAGGTTGTATTACAGCCTTTGATATTTTTCACTATGACACCAGCTGATGGACATGACAGGATGACAGTGTATTTGTCAGACTGCCGTGATCAAAGTGAGATGGAGCCTAGCACGGCAGTCACACAGAACTGAAGTCAGACAGAGAAGAGAGAATGTTCTTTTAATTTGACACGGTGTATAAAGTACAAAAAAAAAAACACTACAAAAGAAAGGTGGTGACGGAGTATAAAATGATGAATGCTTAACATCCTCATTATTTTTAATTTGTTTCCATCTTTGGTGCTAAGTGCTCACTGCCGTGCTGTAAACTCCCCGTGTATCACATGTCCATCACTTAGCCTTCTCAGCCCTCTGGCAGCCTTTGTGTATATAGAAGTCTGATTTCTTATACGTGCTGCTCTTAGCTGCTCATAGCTGAGTTGGCCCTGAGGTACAAAACACAACAGCATCCTGAAAGCAAAAGAAAACTAAAAACAAAACATTTCAGAAATGGTCACTTTTTTTTATTTTTTATGTTGTTGTGTTTTTCGAACTCTGGGCCACCACTTGTATACAGCTGCTAACTACCCACTTCTTCTCGTACTTATTTCAAAGAAACCAAAAGCAGAAAATCATTATTTTCCTCTGTGGCTCAAAACCCCCCCACAGAAACGGAGCTGATGGTTTGCAGCAAGTTTGCAGATGTTAAAGGTAGAATCTGATCTATTGAACATTGTGGACTATGCTTAAAAGCTGAGTCTGTGCCAGGAAACCAACCAGTTTAAATAAACTCTACTAATTCTGCCAAAAAGAGAATTATGCTGGAAGCCTGTTGATGGCTACAAAAAGTGTCTGATCTATGGACAACTTCCTAAGCCAATTATTAGTGGGGGTGTATATGTTTAGCCTTTATTTAAATATTTGTGATCCTGTGTGGTTTAAGAAAATACCAAATAATTTCAAACTTGTGCACCAAATTCTTGTTTTCTAAAGTCATTAAAGATGTATGGTGTAGAATTATCTCACCCTGGAAAAAGAACAGTTCTAAGAAATAATGAAAACACCCCAAACTACCATGATATTCATGCCCATGATAAATGCTATATAAACTTATGACCACAACCAGTGTTGGGAAGATTACTTTTAAAATGTATTCCACTACAGATTACAGAATACATGCCCCAAAATGTATTTTGTAACGTATTCTGAATACTTTGGATTACTTAATATATCATCATGCTTTTTACAACTACATGAATGTACTATTGCTGTGTGATCTATTACTATTACTGAAGGCAACTCGCCATAACAATACCGAATAGATTTAAAATCTTAATATACAATAAGTAACAGTAGGGTGGACATTAAGTAAAGCTGCACTTTTTGCCGCGATCTCGTATGGAAAACTATTCCGCGCGTATATAAAACAGGTCCGCAGCTCCGAACCGTAGTAATGGGACCTCTGGCTAATACGTTAGGGTCCGTGTCGGGCTCGTAGCTGAAAACTAGCTTTACTTTGTTGTCTGGGTCAACTTTGCTAGCGAGAGACAGAGAGAGGCGTTGAAAGGCTGCTTCAACGGAACTTACTGTTTCGAAGGAAAACACGATCACAGTGTACAGTCGAGTCTTAATAGCTTACATGTTAGTGTGCAGTACGCAAGATCGACAGCACACAATGTGCTTTGAGGTAGCAGCCAAGAAAGGTGAAGTTTGTGTCTGTGAACACCCGTGTGTACACTTGTGTGCACACCTGTGTGGATCGGCACACTTGTATTCAAAAGGCTTCTCCATGTAACGATCTGCTAGGGAGTGTGGGGAGCCATAGCCCCGTCCCCCAGGGCATGAAGCAGGTATGGAGGAGATCCAGGCCCCAGAATACGAGGACCCAAGGAGGGCAACCGTGCCACCCTCCTGGGAAGATCTGAGGAGAGCTCCAAACGAGAGGTCACCCAGCAGCCATGGAGCAGAGGCCAGAGGGGGTTGTAGTGACGTGCCTGCAGGCTCTGCCGGCAGCCAGCTGTGCCAGAAAGGACCGGGCCTCAGGCCCAGAGGCCAGAGGTACATGGGGTGCCCGGTACATATATGAGCGCCCAGCCCCAGACACCAAGAACCACCAACACACCAACATCTGAGGGCATCGGCCACTGGCAGGGAGTGTGGTGAGGGGAGATAGGCCTCCATACCTCGGAGAGCCTGAGCTGTTCCCAGAGAGGTGGAGTCTACGACCCAAGATGACATAAAGACACAGACGAACAGGCGCACGCAGACACAAACATGCATTCCCATCCCCAAATACACAAACAAATACTCGGCACTCACCCGACATGGAGACAGACACAAATAGACACTGTACACACATTCACACTCCCCAAACATACTCTATATGCCAGGTTCAGGTACCCCTGCCCCCAGAGGGGCAAACCGTACCCGGACCCAGGAGAAGATTCTCGGATGACAGGTGAAACGTCTTCAAACAACTTAAAGAAGTCCAGACGCTTTTCTTTCCAAGCTCCTTAGACTTCCTTCCTTGGACCACTTTTAATAGACACTGACCACTGCAACGGGGAACACCTCACAAGGGCTGCAGATCTGGAGATGCTCTGATCCAGTCGTCTAACCACCACAATTTCACCTTTAGCAAACTCTCTCAAATCATTACGGGTGTAATTCTTCCAGCTCTCCTAATTTTTGGGTGCCTGCTCAGGTTCCTCTTTTGATGGTGTTTTGAGCAAACATAAAGTAGTCATTAGTGTCTTTCTCACTAAGACAGTGTGAAACATCTTTTTTCAGAATTATTTTGAATCTGTTCTTAGGGGGAGAGAGACCATAGCTTCATTTTCCATGCCTTACCTATTTAGCCCTCTTTTCTGTTTCCCTCTTTGGTATCTACAGGGTCAGAACCCTCCTGCATCCCTTTTCCTCTTTACTTGATGCCCGTGCGACTCATTTCACCCCCGCACCTCCATCTCTTCCATGTTTTGTGAGGCCGAGAGTTCACATTCCCGCTGAGCTCTTTACATCCCCTGTCCCTGCCCACATTAATCGGATTGTGTGCCTCAGAATCGGGAGTCGACAGGGCTAATTTCATGCGAGTTACAGATGAATTAATGATGAACAGCGAAAAGGGGATTTAAAAAGGGAGAAGGGCTCTCGATGGGAGGGCTACGTGAGGATTATATATTCTTGCTGCAGGGCTCGCTCAGCACCTGTTCCACTGCGCTGCCTCCCCATGTGTGTTTGTGTACGTGTACCTGAGAGCACGAGCACACCTCTTACATGCGGCGAGGCTCTTTAAATGTCACTCGGGCTGCTTCTCCTCACAGACCTGCGTCTTTTTTTCGCTGCGCACTGTGCATTTTAAAGAACAGTCTGACTTTATTTTGCTGCCCGTCTTCAATGTTATTTCCTCAGAATGTTCAATCCAGCGGTGCTGTGTGTGTTCTTTCAAAAACGATTTCTCTGAGCCAAGTTCAGCTTAAATTGAACTCGAGGTAGATAACGGGCCGACTTTGGTCATTTTCAATTCAGGAGAGCAGACAACTTTGGAGTTAGTCAGATAGCCTTTCATTTCTCAACTCAATACCTGAATAGGCTTGGACTTTTTTTTTTTTGCCTAAACTGCAATCTTTTTTTCACCTGCCAGAAGCATTGACTTCATTGCTCACTTTTTGGCAGCCCAACCAGTGGCTAGGATGAAAAAGCACTATTCTGCACAATTACAAGCATTGCCATGCTTTATGTATGGCATAGCTAGGCACATTTTCAAGTCTGAATTAAGAGTTCAACTTTTTCCTGCATGTGTGGCCACCTACCCAGCCAGAGTGCTCCATCTGTGTCCAGCTGTGTTGATGCCAGAGGTGATGACCCTGTCACCGGTGCCTCGTTGCCAACCTGTAGAGAGCCGTCTCGAAGTGCTCTAAAGAGGAGAAAGACAAAAGGAGAAGGGCACTGGAAGTGAGTACGTGTGTGTCACAGCGAATAGCTTTAAATTGCAGTTTTGTTTCGTTTGAGGCATCAAGACTCTATTGCTCGACTGCCAGTATACTAAGCACTCACATAACTGCCTTTGCCAAGCAGTGTTCTAAACGTGCCTGTCTACCAGCTAACAGATGCCGTTAGAGCACCATTTATTTGAGGTGGCTCCATGTGGCGCATTAGCACACACTTAAGAATTGTGAAGACAGAGCTGATTTGAACCCCGCTAAAGTGGGCTTCCAGCAGAGAGACTGTCATTAGAGGCAAGCCACAAACACAGCTAGCTATGCAGCTTTGTGAGTCGTATGCCACATGCTGCGATTTACACCATCATTACCATCGAAATGATGTCATCTTCTCATGCGGTCTCCCTGTTAGTCTGGGATGAGATTTGGCCTAGTTCCTGTTTGAAATGGATGGAGCAGCTTTTCAGGGATCGATTATTCCCGCCTTACGTGATGAAACCGAACAAATTCTCCCCCCACGTGACCAGTCGCCGCTATGCCGAACGTAAAATGCTCACCGACGATAATGCAGGGGTCGCAGGGAAGGTGTTGAGTTTGGGCAATGAATTTATTTTTAATGAAGAAATCCATTAAAGTGACATCACCATGGGACAGAAAAGTTCGGCACACTTCATGTTTTTTCTCTTCTATCCATTATTCATTTACTAAATGTTATTTTCTCTAATTCAAGTGTTATTTATTGTTCGTGCACATGCACCTACAGTCACTGGCCACTACATTAGGTACACATTTTCAACTACTTGTTAACACAAATATCTGGTCATACATGTCACCTTGGCATTAAGACGTAGCCTAGACGACCTACTGCAGTTCAAGCTGCACATCAAAATGAGGAAGAAATGAGATTTAAGGGACTTTTAACATGGCGTGGTTCAGAAATCTACTAGGATATACCCACAAAGCAATCTCTTACTGATTCTCTGGCACGAAGAAATTATTTAGTTCTGAAGGCAAAATGGGGTCCAATCCAGTGCCAGCAAGTGCAACTAATAAATTCAATTCAAATGTTATGTATATAGCACCAAATCATAACAACAGTTACCTCAATAGACTTTATATTGTAAGGTAAAGACAGTTTAAGAATACAGAGAAAAGCCCAACAATCTGATGACTCCCTCTGAGTAAGTGCTTTGGCGACAGTGGTGAAGAAAAACTCCCTTTTAACATTAAGAACCCTCTGGCAGAATGTGAGAGGAAGACAGGAAAGTGAGTGTCGGTGAGTGTCTATGCACCTGCTACAGGTTTGTATAGACAAGGCTCAACTGTATCAAAAACTGTTTATGATGTGACTGACTAGTTTTGTGGTAAGTACAACGTCATCTGTCCTGACAAACTGATCAAATAAATTCTGTTGTTAAAGCCACCCCCTTCCAGCTGTGGGCCCTTGCGAAAATTGTCACCTGCTGACTTTGAGAAAGTAACTCATGCATTTATTTCATCCAGGCTTGACTACTGGAAAAGCCTGAAGGGCATTTGTTTTTGCACTTTGCACTTTTTGCACTTGAGACCCATGTTTGGTAGTAGTACTAAGCTTATGCATTAAAGTGCATCAGACTCCACCTCCGGGTAGCAACACATATGCAAGAGGTTTAGACTTCATAGTTGGCTGCATGGATTAGTGCAAATTTGCACAATCTAAGGTCTCAAGCATTAAATCTGTTAATGATTGATTTCACACATTTTGTAATCTCCAAGTTACAAAAATGTCCCTGAGGTTCACTAATGTGTGACAAAACGTGAAACTCCATGAATGATGAGACTTTTTCAGACTAACATCACATGCATTTTCTGACTGTTATGAAGCTTTTGAGTTTACATAAAACAAGGGGAATACCATAGGTATGCATATATGATATGTCTCGTGAGCCAAGTTTTTGCAGAGGCAAAGTCATTTTCACTTCTCTGGTGAGGCAGAGGTTCTACGGTTTGAAAGTCCCAGTTGTTAAGATTATAGCAATTTAAGCATGTGGTATGTCTACAGCTGTCCTGAGAGGTCAACGACAGTTCAAATGCTCACAGTCTGCTTGGACCTTCGTCTTCACTGCTTGCAGCTATATCAATGTTATTCATACCGTCTTTCTATTCTTTTAAATCAAGCATTCTTGCAAGTCATCTACAGAGCAAAATACAGTGATGTGTATGAAAGGGAAATACACATACAAATACGCATTCACTTTTCTTATTTTTTTACTCATTTATTTCCTGCCTATGTGTGTGTGTGGATATTGCAGGATGTTCTTCCTTTTTGAACATTCATTACCGTGTCAAAGCAATTTGATGCATAATATCATCCTCGTGCATGACCAGGCATGAAAATAACGTTAACCTGGAACTAATCAGAGTCATCTCAGTGTGAGGGATCGCTGTGTAGCCGAGGATTCATGCAGGAGATCACGGTGTGCAGCAACACAAACACAATATGGATTAATCCTAATCCTGGTCTAAATGTAAAAGCTTCCATCACTGATCCCGTTACCTATCGTCTCCCGTCTTACCTGCTGGCCTTGATGCGTATCCAGCTGTTGGTGTCAACACGCACAGTAGAGCGCAGCACCACGGGTTTGGAGCCCAGGTCATAGGTCATTTGGACATGTCCATCTACAATTGCTAGGGCAATGTAGTCTGAGCGCTCCACGCCCTTTCCGCTCCACAGCACCAGACCCTGGGTCGTGTCAGTTCGGATGCTTAGTTCAAATTTGTTCACCAGCAGAGCCTTCTCGCTAGAAGGAGAGAAAATACATGTTCATTTATTTGTCTGCTACATCAGAAAGATTTCTAATCTTTAACATACCTATGGATATTGCATATAGGAAGCAAGGGTCCTGTGCTGTCGTCTCAAAGGTGCATTACCTGTGATGACATCTGGTTCTATTTGCTTACATATTTAGAAAGAAAACTTTGTAGCTTTAACTCTGCAATCACATGCTAACAGAGTTACCGGGATTTTGAAGGAGAATCAGGATGCTGGGTGAGTAGCAGGGGGCTGTTTCGCTATTAGCTTTTCTACATCCTACTGAGCCTGAACTGCACTGCTGCCTACTGCTTCCTTTGTTGCTTTGTGCATTGCTCTGTGTGTGTTGTTTAGGCAGCTGTTTGATCTCCCATCTCTTGACTGCTACAGCTGCCAGGATGATTTGGATGCAGAGACTAGGAGACTTCCCTTCTATCCTTAAGAGGCACTGTAAGCCACTGTCACCGCTGCGCGAGAAAAGTACACAGAGCAATGTGCCTCTGCTGAATTCGTGCACAGACAGACAACACCGCACATCCATGTCTGCATACAAACGCACTAACAAAGGTCCTCCGTGAGTCCACCAGAGATACAGCAGACATCCAGGCAATCATACCTCATCATTCAGTCTCTGCACATTTGTTTGCACATCAGCAAAATGGAACTACTTCCAACGTCTTCAAAGGGTATTTAAACACAAAGACAGAGACAAGGTGAGGGCACGTACGACAAAGAACCAACAACACGTGGATTCAATTAAAACAAAAAACAACCAAAAAAACAACACCACAGACCTGGAGATAGATTTGACAAGACAAGACAAGACAGACAACAAGGCAAGGGAGTCAGCACAGCAAACAGGGAAGCACATGGGAGTACAAACAGGACAGGAAATGGGAGGGAATACAGAGAGAATGAGAATAGCAGCTCTCCTTAACCTCGAGGAGATTTTCTTCATTTTTTTTCCTGTTTATCTTCCATTAAATGATGTCTAAACAAAGCAGCAAGATGATATTTAACTTTGGAGGAAATAAACTTTGAAAGCTCATGCCAAAAATGATGCCAGTCGCCTCAGCAGAAGCAGAGGAGAAAAAAAGGATTTTCTTTTCCAAAAACATGCTTAGGTTACAAACATCGACCCCCTTGATTAACCAAAACTGCTGAGGTAAACAGGAACACACACACACACCAAAAAAAAAAAAAAATTTCTCCAGAGAGAAAAAAAAAACTAACAAAAAATACAGCTTAGTGAACCTTCTCCTGGCAAACCCTCAAAGAGCTTACAGGGCCCAATAAATCTCCACTGGAGCGGATTGTCAGTGATAAGGTCAAGGTTATTAAAAGTGCTGAATATATCATGAATAAAACAACGGCGGCGCACAGCGCTCTAGATCTCATATACACCGCAGACTTCATAGATTTCTGCTGTGATGCTGTTTCTTTTTGGAAATGGAAGAGTTTTATCTTCTCGGATTTTTTTCAAAGCTGAAAAAGGCCTCTCAGGGTGTGGACCTACGTTTCAACTCTAGGTGGCAGTAGTGCTTAGAATAATAAAAAGCCATGTGGGAGGACAGCTATTGCAAAGAGACTGTAGCTCTGGATGGATTTGTGCTGTTATCAGAGCTCTTAACTTTTTCAGAATTTATTGAAGCATATGCAGAGGCTCTTTGCCTTTCGTATTGGTAACTCTATCTCAGTAATGGAAACAGTGTTGTCTCTGCGGAGGAGGATTTAGCCCTGTGAGAGGTCGACGAGGGGTTGTCTGGAGGGAAGGGGAGGAATGAGGAGGTGATACGCAAGCCGACAGCACCACATTTTTGATAGCTTTGAGAGACTCACCTCTGGTCGGATGGGTTCTCCAGAGACTCGGGACTTAAGGGAGCAGGGGGAGAAAGTCAACGGCATGCAGTGTAAGCGCAAGGGGCAACAAGGAGAAAGGGAGGGAGGGAGGAGGGGAGGGAGGAGGTCTAGTTTAGGCCTGGAGCTGCAAAAAGCATAACTTATCTGCTCTACTACAATATCGACCACGTCAAGTCGATAACAACTGTTGTGTGATCATAGGAAGAGTGTAGCTTAGCCTTGATAACACCACAACCATAAAAAGGTTCTTAAGGGAACCGCTGAGATTAAGATGGATGACTAACTCTCCAAAATGCCTTGGGATCAAGCATTTTTTAAAAGAGTGAAGCATCAAGATTAAGCACATTCATGGTCAGTGTCCACTGAGGTGCAGAGCCCGCTTTAAGTCAGCGTCCAATTATTGACCAGCTCCTTTATATTTATGGCTCTGCACGCTACAGTGCTGCACCAATTACCTTCTGTCCAGAGATGAAAGCAGCGAATGAGAAAAATTGGGCAATTGTCCAAAAATGGGGTCAAGCGCGTATCAGTTGAGAGTCATGGCCAGATATGATTTGTCTCTGAAATAATGGAGCTTGAGCGTAATCGACCTGAGCTTCCAGATATGGAGGAGGAGGAGGAGTGATCAAAGGGGTGCTGTAAATAGTAACCAAAACATTAACCCAGGGTTAAAGTTTGACATTTTGGCCTTAGCGCCACTTAATGGCCGAGAAATGTATTCATTCCTTTTACCAGATCAAATCCCACCCAATTGATTGTGCTCCTTTAGAGTGCTGCACCAAGAGCCTGGTATGCTTAGATTCACCCTCATTGTGGCTCGTAGTAAATGTGACATCCATTAAACTTTTGACAGTCTGGCTTCAAGGACCGCTGTCCCCTGCTGCTAAGTGAGATTGATGCCCATGGCTACACACTGAGGAGAGAGATCTCAATTGGAGGTCTAATCTACAAAGGGAGACAAATCTGTGATTAACATGTCACAGCCTTTCTGTACAGTCGACTCTGTAATTATTCACAATTACAGTTAGAGATCTGGCAAAAATGAAATGACAGAAGCCCTGGCATGGAGTGGAACTCTGGGCGGAATCCAGTCGGCTTAATTTGAGCCGAATTCTGCTTCAGCGCTTTTTTAAAAAAGAGGTTACTTACCGAGCTAATGAGCAGGAAGAAAAACCTTTAATAACTAAGGCATGACCGAGGGTTTTCCTGCGCACAAACTCCACAGGCACCAGAAACTAGGTTGAGTTGTATTTAGTATAACCTCCTCTTGTAGTTTTCAAGGGGTCTCATTCATTTCTCACATTAGCGCTTAATGCCATTCAGCATAAAGCACGTGGCAATTCATTTTGTTTATGAACGAGCTACAACCATGCATAAAATATTGCACATTCTCAGTACAGCAATTCATTTTCTCGGAGGGCTGTGCACAATGCTTATCATGCAAACATTCATGCTTCCCTTTGCACTGAAAGGAAAAAAAGACAGGAGCTAATGACAATGCATGATGCATTAAAAATAAGGAAACCTGTCAAATGAAATTATGGATATGGGCCTTGGATGTGAAAATCTGGCTTTAACGGTTAAGATGAGTTCTGTGTGGATATTAAGACGGGAAACTGAATGTGCTTTAATCTTTGCATTTGGGTTATCAAACATGGATTTAAAAAAAAAAATTTTTTTCTGCTGTTAGTCGAGCTGGATTTGAAACTTGGGTAAATACCCAGTGTTAAAGTCTACTTACTCTGGGATCTCATTGGTCAGTTGGCTTGAGTGAAAAGGAAAGACAGTGAAGGACATTCACATGAAACAAAGACAGATGTGGACAAAGACAAGGGAGGTCAAGGACAGAGGACGAACAACTGGAATGCTAACGCCATCAACAAGCAGCAAAGACACATCAAAAGGCACACACGGATATGTGATTCTCCAGCCAGTTGTTTCTGAGTGAGTGTGAGGTATGAGCGTCCACGGCAGCATGATGATCTGCACACCGTAACCCGGTTTTCACACCTCTGAGTGTTTGTGTGAGGAGCTGCGAGTCGAAGATATAGAGCCGTATGCTTGACGTCGTTTCAGGCTCGTCACATAAACATTTTTGTTTATTCCAACCTGGAGGCGCTCTCTTGCCAACCTTGTAGATGGATGGAAGACTAAAAATGTCTCATCAGTTGCCTGAAGTGAGTGGATTGCTGGTTTTTTTGTGTTTTTTTTATACAACAGCCCCAGAAATCATTTTCCAACTACGTCATCGGCTTTCTTTCCCCATTACGGGGAGTTAAAATTGAAGCCAACACATCTTTGAAAGCGTGATGAAAAACGGTCATCCGCACATGATGACCACATCAAAATAGGATGAGAAGTTTAATCATGTGTGTGCTTACTGTTCAGCATCAGTGCGAGCTACGGGGTAGACCACAGGGCGAACCGAGCGTGCTCTGGGCAACACTGTGATTGTTAACTGTCTCGCTAATTAGTGAAATCCTGTCAAAAGCGTAGCGGGACTTGCCACAGACAGAACGATGAGCTATTAGCCAAGCGCCTAGTTCACCCTGAAGCCCCAGCGCTGATGATATCATCAACACTGTCATCACAGCTTACCACGGGAGAAGATGGAGAAAAGAGGGGTTATTTGGCTAATTGGCTATTTGGCTAATAGCTTCTACAGCAGAGATGGTGGATGATGCTGAACGGACTGTAGTCTTTCTTACCTCCTGGTAACAGCGTTGTGGTACTCGATGAACGTCCGTCCGTCAAAGGCGATGGCCTCGGTCTCGCCAGCAGACTTCTCGTGGATGGCTGTGAAGGACAGGGGCGGGGCGAGGAATGATGAGAGGATGAGATCGCACCAATCAATAAAGATTCAGTTATCAGAGCCGAAGGCAATGAAGTGTGAGCATGCAGTAGGTGGATTGGTGCGTTGGCCACACGCCCAAGGTTAATGGCAAAAGCAACGACTGAGTATGTAAGACAGATTGGCCCCGAACGAGCGCACGTCTGGCAGAGTATCACGAAGATGATGAAAGGAATGCGCAACCCCTTCCTTTCATAAATATTCAGTTGACACAGTTCATCATTTTCGTAAGTGCCGCGTTAGTTTGAGATCAATATATAATGAGAGTGACATAAAAGAGACATCACATGTCTAATATTGGCATTATTACCTCGCAATGGCAGAGCACAATGGAAATAAAGGTCTTATGAGCAGAAAAAAATTGAGACTCATATTTTACCTTCTATAGAGGCAAGCCAAGAACAAGCAGTGTTACATGAAGCATCACTGATTTCAGTGCCACTCATACTATGCTTTAAAAGCAGCCCAAAATGCTATGCTTCTGGAGTAAAACCAGATCATCTTGGATGAGGAAATAGAACAATTTGTACGGTTACAGTGATTCACTGAAGCCGCGCAAAAGCATGATAAGGTGATCTCAACCCAGCAAGTATTGTTAGCCACTGGCTTACACAAAGAGAAATCACACTGGTCCTTAAAGTAGGGGTAGGAAATGTGTTTAAGAACTGAGATTTTCTCTGGTTCATTCACTCGGATTAGGATAAAGCCAAATGTAATGTATGTGTTAGGACAGACGACAAAAGATGGCAGCGGTACTCACTGTTCTGGCAGTGCTGCCCTGAGAAGCCGCTGAGGCATTCGCAGTTGTAAGTGTCCAGCTGAGGTTTGCAGCGGCCACCGTTGTGACAGGGTTCCCTGGAGCAGGGGTGATTCTGGAACATGGCTACGCTGCTGGAGCGCAAGGCATTCTCCTCCCTGAGGATGGGCGTACCCATCAGAGTGATCTAGAAGCAGTGCACACAGGGCGTTATCAGCAGGTGTTACCTCAGTCTGGCTTCGAAGACGTTTACGAAACAAAAAGCATGCATCTCGGCAACTAGCGACGTTCTCGCTAGTGGCCGCATATTTCAAAAGGCACCGGGAGGAAATAAATTGGATCTGAGCCACAGTGGAGAGTCATATTTGGGATTTCTGAGATAGTACATCACTAAAATCAAATATCAATTATTAAATAAGCAGCAAAATAAAAATGTGGAAAACATCACGATGACTCAGTGGTTTGATTGTACTTAACCAGGGATGTCAAACTCATTCTACATCATGGGCCATCTTTGATCTTTGATCCTAAGCGGGCCGGACCAGTGAGACTCCTGAGATATTTTAATATAACAAAAAGTAGTGCAATTTCATCAATACAGCTTTTCTACATGTTAATTTTGCTAATTTTGGCTTAAACTGTAGCAAATAAATCTGTAAAAATAGAGAAAAAAGTCTGTCAGCTCAATGCACAGAAAGTCTTGTAATAAAAAAAATGGAAAATATTTGTTAATTAGAGAATGTCTTTTTTCTTTTCTTTCTTGTTTTTTCCAATGTAAAAATCATAATTTCTGTAGTCTAATTGTTAATCTCTTACTTATTTACTGGTGTAATGTGAATGTCCACACAGTTAAAATGTGCTCCTTCACATTTTCCAAAGATATTCTGTGGGACAGATTTTTTGTCAATCTTTGACGGATTGATACTGGGCCCCGGGCCTTATGTTTGACAGCCCTTTACTTATTAGTAACCAGGCAAAAACAAAATCTAAAAATATATTAAGATATTTCTTTCTCCAGATGTAGTTGAATCCTGTTTGGAGCAAAGAAATATAGGATATCATCCTTTTCTGACTAGGCCACACCCATTTCACACCAAACCTGAGGAAACAGGATTGTGTTGTCTTATAACACCCAGCACGCCCCTGCGGGCGGTTTATCCTTCAAGCTCGGGTCCTCTACCAGAGGCCTGGGAGCTTGAGGGTCCTGCGCAGTATCTTAGCTGTT